GCACTTGTTGTTTGTCATTTCTCTGATCACAAATGCAGACAGAGTTTTATGTTTACACGGCGCGATGCAATGCAACGCGTAAAAAGACAGTATAAGTCATTATAATCAGTAATTATGTCCCCACTGGATGCAACAAATGCCTCGTTTGTAATGGGTTTTAATGTTTTTGTCTCGTCGCTCCGGCCGGGACACGGCATCAACAGTATGTGAGGGGCGTAACATTTCCGTCTCACGCTTGAGGTATTCGGCCAATCACAATGCATTGGATAGCTGGCCAATCACAGCACTCCTCGCTTTTTCAGACAGATGAGCTTTGTAAAAATCGATGCGTTTCAAAAAAGCGGGGCATAGAGGAGAAACAATAATGTACAGTATGTGGAAAATAATGTGTTTTTTTAACCTTAATCCGCATAAACACATTTCGTTACACCAAATACACAAAATAATGTTTTTTTAGCAGCATCATATGACCCCTTTAAATAAAACAGGGCACACACTGACACCTGATAGTCTCACTGATTGAAAACAACAGATGGACTCTAAAGGTGTGTTCACGCCATATCGGAATTCCCGTAATTACGAGATTCCAACTTGTAAAAAGCGTTCACGTCCTCGTAGAGCTCAAAATTACAACTTGTGAACTGGGAGTATTCTGAGAGCTACGACTTGTACCACGTGACCGCTGTACCACCTGACCACCGCAGGCTCTGTTTAGGTGTTTTTAGAGTTGCCATAGAAAAGCATAGTTCCGAGTCGGAGGACGTGAACGGCTCCGAGTAGAACGTCACGTGCTGTCATCTCGAAATTACGGTAATTACGATATGGCGTAAACGCAGCATAATTTCACCTTCAAATTAACCGCTAATCCTAGAGATTCACATACTTTTGCTGCTCACATAAGTAATATTGGATCATTTTCCTGAATAAATACATGACAAAGTATATATTTTCATCTCATTTGTTTGATTGGGTTCTCTACTTTCAGGACTTGCATGAAAATCTGATGATTTTTTGGGTTATATTTATGCAGAAATATAGACAATTCTAAAGG